GCAAATACTAGTCAATAAGGACACATATTGGGTTTCAAAAGTTGCGGTTAGAACGAAGGTGCTTTACCGTTTTTTAAATTGGGAACATCTGTATTTTTGAAATCTGATATGCTTTGACAACAAGAACTTCGGTAAAAATATCATCGACATACAATCCACGAAGAAACTCCATTGGTATCAGTTTTAGAAAAGTTTTCCTATGGGTTTTTCTCTCCTGTATCAAAGCAATCGAGAAAAAAGAACTTTCATAAAATTGAAGATTTTTAGAGAATGTTTTTAGTTTGTTGACAAAATCGCGTTATGTCTTGCAGTCATGCTGATAATTATTCATTTGGTTTTTCTTGATCCTCTCACAAATATCCCTGTCGCGAGCGTTAACAAAAAAGATCTTTCCGAAAGAATTTTCAATAAAAATAACACGTTCATATAGAAAGTGTTGCCGTAACTTCTAATATCGCGTAGTAAAAGATGCATTTACTATTAATAAAAATACTACAATTTAATCTTCTGTGAACTATTGTAAAGAGCAAATTGGTATCTTCAAAATTCATTATGAAACATAGTTTTTCAATCCCATTCGACGCAAAAAAACCATAAATATATAAAATGAAACGATCACAGTTCGAATTTTCAAGAAGTCTATGTATAGATGACTAGATTTAAGCGTTTGTTTGTTTGCAGCTTTGTTATCGAGTAAACGTTTACTTTACACATTATTTCTTGCTACAACAACAAGCTTTGATAATGTAAAAATCGACAATATGATTTAACAGAACTGAACATTTTTTCCCATTATTTCTGCAACATATCTTAAATAAAGTTTTATAGGTACTTTCATTGAAAAAACTGGCTACTGTCAGATACACCTCATTAACGTTAAGAAAAGGATAAATTTTGCTAAAAACTTCCAGAAAACCATATACTTTTCCGAAATTATCTATTCATATTTTTTTAAACTGGATATTTCTGCAAAATAATAATTGATAAGTCCATGGCTTTCTAATTGAGATATTTCAGCTTTTTCTCAGACATTAACTTATACAGAGGACGACGTTCTATTTTGGGATGAGGGGAGTTAATAGAAATAAGTATTGTGCTTTGTTCGTGTGGAGATTATCGAACCATTAGTGTAGTAGATTGAAGAAGCATTGACTTGCTTAGTGTGCTGTAATGATTCTTCAATGATTACAATGAATTGAGTAAGTACAACACGTTTATTCTTCGTTGTAGGTTGACCAACGTTAGAAACTCATGACAAGGCCAGTACTAATATTGAACATTAACCACAAGAGTCGCACAATAATTGCACATCATTCGATAGCGTAACTCTTGACGTCGCCATTGGTCAATTCACCGAGATTAATTCCTTCTCTCTATTTTTTTCTGTATGCTTTCTTTCTTTGTTCTTTTCGCATTACTTGTCTATTTTAATTGCTTCTAATGTGTGTCTTCTATTTTGATTTTCTTTAATCCTTCAATTATCATGATTTTCTCAGCAGTCGTATTTTATTTCAGCATATTTTTTCTTACTGTTCTCTATTACGTAATCACACAAGAAAGCGATAAGTTTTTATGATCTTTTACGTAAGCCTGAAAATTTAATTCTATTTATTTGCTTTTCTCACATTTTATTCAAGAAATAAATGAAAATGATTACGAAATTAGCCCAATTTAGAGAACATACTTGTCTTTTTAACAATCCATTTTATGGTTTCTTTCGTCGTCGACATCAAACCCCACTTGATCGTCTGTGGACGGTGTTGTCGAGTTTGTTGTGTTTCTGAAACTATTGTCAGATATCATTGATGTTGATCATTTATTGAAATTCGCAAAGCATTGAAGAGCCACTATGTAACTTTTAGTCATTTTTAGCGTTTCATACTTTGGAAAGCATCAATGTCAGTTGTACACGGATGACAATAGAACAGTGTGCAATCGATCAAATACAATATTGAAAATATTCATTCAACGATATTCTTGCGCATTGAGTTACATTCGACGCTTTGCTGCCATCTGAACAATATATGCTGTTGGTCGTTTGATCGATGACGATAGTGTTGCGTCTCTAGGAGTCATCTTTCTATAACTACATGTACCTTCGTTACCAAGATGGACTATGGTGGCAGGTAGTTCCATGAAGTCTCAAACATTTTATACACAATATTCTCCAAATGGACGAATTTATTTCTCGTTTTGTAAAGATCCTCGAGCCTTGTTTATGGTATAAAAATAACGATCTTTCAAGGGTGTGGGTGTGGTGTCTGGGATGTGTGTCATCTTTTAAGTTACACACCCACATTCATAAACTCACACCAACATAGCTACAACCACACTCATATCCATACCCTAGGTTTTACGTCAAAGATAGCTTTTGCTGAACAAAGTTGATATGGACGGTAATACAATTTGAAAGAGTATCAATAATGACGCGGAAAATGTATAAAAAACACTGAACAATGTTGATAGAAAACAAAATTTGAGACCGAATATATTTCCCTCGTCACAATTTTCTTAGCAAAGCGCAACTTTGGCCACCAAGCAGTGGGATGTGATATTTCTTAAACCAGCTGCACACACGTGTACATAGATCCATTAGTTTACTTAGGGGTTTGTTTTAAATGTTATCAGTTGAATACTTCACTTCAGTTGCCTTCGTTCTATCAATTTAATTTAGTATAACCTACTGAAATTTCCATTCCAATTGTTTCTTTTCCGAAGTTGCTATGAATTTCTTTCGTGGGTTGACCGTTCTTAATCGGAACCGAAACTGATAACGAGTTGCTCGACTCATAAGCGGCTTGACTAGTTCGTTGTTTGACAATATTTAGGATACAAACTTTCTTTTTGCTATATTTTCTTCGTGTGAATAAAATAGTGAAATGATACGTATATAAATTACATGAAAAAAATATCGTAGGGAAAATTTTTCAAATTTACAATAGATTATGCACTTGTGATCCAGATGAAAATTTATAATTATATGTCACAAAAAAGACACAAAACGAACAAATCATGAGTAATGGTAGTGATGAGTTCGCTTGACACATTTGGAACTAGTTGTTGTGTTGCATTGTCTATTCATATTTTTGCCAAGCCATACATGTAACGGATAGCGAGGTACATAACCGCCTGGTGAGCTACGTTCTATCCAAGACTAAGCACAATCGTGCTCTATCTTTTGTGTCACATCTCTTCTCGTTTGCAAGAGCCATTTAATGATATGACCTATAAAATTACTTTCCACCGGTACATTTTGAAATGTGACTCTTGATAAATGTTCGGCTCGCTCCAGAACCATTGTAGCATCGTTTATGTGCTTGATATAAACATTGAGATATTTGCTGTGTCGATGCAATTTCAAACAGATTGTATTGAAAGTTATTAGCTTCATTCTCTCGAACTTATATCGATTGATTATAAACGAGCGAAGATTCAATGTATGTTTGTATAGAGTATTCATATCGATATCCAGATTCATTTTAAGCTTACATTCACGAGAGAACTTTCACTTGAGTGTTTGGAGATTCGATACCTGGACGGTTGTTGGAAGATACTCAATTGTGCCGATTGGCCATTGTTCGTCGATCTCCAGCGTAAGGGTGTGAGTGTGAATGCTGCGGTACTTTTATCTGGCACTCACATTCATACTCACGTCAATATGTGGAAACTTGCGATAATTTCTATAATTTCTAATGTTTTTGAGGGATAGGACCCTTTTTAATATGAATTTCTGGGTCTCTTAATATACAATTTATAGAAATTTCGAAATTTTCTCAATATCTTCCTTGGAAGTTTGCAAGAAATTTCGTTGATAGAAGTATAGTAGAGCTTTTTTCAGATGGAAGTTGCCGTAATATCTAGAAAATTGGAGAGATTCACTAGAATTTATCTTGTTAGTGTTCTCTATAGAACATGATACTCTGACGGAATTTTATATCTAGATGGAAATTTAAACATACCTCTCAAATAGCTCGACATTTTCTTTTATAATTATTCCGCTTTAGCCAATGCCATCTATATTACTAAATTTTTACCCAAAATTCATAAAGAATTTATTCATGATGCTGCCAAGAAAAACTGGAAGTATGTGATTGTACGAACATTAGATTTTAAATTTAGCCGAAATTGTGCATCTAGTAAAAGTTGTGCATGCTTTGAAACTAACATAAGCTGCTTACGGTATCAAAAATGAACTTTGTCTAGAAACGGTTGTGAAAACTGTTGATAATATCAATGTCAATGCACTGTGGATTGAAACATCAGATAATTTTCAATATGTAATTTTACTTAAACGTACATAGTTCACGTATTTTTAATTCTATAATCGAGCTTCTTCAAAAATAGTATCTCATATATCATTTGATCATCTTCTGTGTTATTATCGACAGTATAAATATCAGTCAGTCTAACTATTATGAATGTACTCTATATGATTGACCTTTTCAAAACCCAAAATTGCTGTTTCAGTCATCTGTTCTACAACTGAAATATTGTAAAACATCGCTCATAATGATTCATGCTTTTGTAAATTGAAATTTTCTCTGTATTTACGTATTCACTTGATTCTTCATTGTTTAATAAAATAAGTTAAATCGTAGACGACTCTCTACATTGCTTTGATAATCTTATCCTGAAAATGATCAAAGAATTTATACGATCATTCACGGGATTTAGAGTCTATAAACAACCTTCGAACGTTTTAGTACCCAAGTAATTAATAGTGTTCATGCTTTCATATTTTTCTGTTTCGGAAGTGCTTGATTGTCGAAAAATTGAAATATCATTTGACAGCACTCTTATATTTTGACTTTAAAATCAATTGATCGTTGTTATCATTATTATTAGTACACTGAACCAGCGCAATTTGTCAGAAACAAATGAACTATTTTACAAATTGAAAATTGCTATTTAGAGTATTCGAATTTATTTATTTTTTAAATTGGCGTATTAACGCTACGTATAATTGTGTCAATAGGTCAATACATGTCCAAAAAGTCATTTCACCAGGGTCTCTTTCCTCCCATACCACTGTACTGGAAGGAAGTAGGAGACGCGCGAGAAATTTTTGCACCCATAGAATATACATTCCAGCTGTCCTTTCCGTAGCCACCGCCAAGTGATTGAAATGAATGAGCACTTGCATCATTAACTTTTTTACCTTCATAATAAACATTCCAGCTGTCCTTCCCATAGCCACCACCCAGCGATTGAAATGAATGAGCATTCGCACCATCTACTTTTCTCCCTGCATAATAAACATTCCAGCTGTCCTTTGCATAGCCACCACCAAGCGATTGAAATGAATGAGCACTCATGCCATCTACTTTTCTACCTGCAAAATAAACATTCCATGAATCTTTCGAATAGCCGCTATCCAAAAAGGCTAGATGCGATCTTGTGTGATGACCAACGCTGATCATATTCCGTTCATCTTCATTAATATCACTTGAATCAAAGCTTTCTTCGCTTTCATCAAATAATGGATTGTTCTTGACGGTTGCTAATAAGCACACAAATACAACTAAGATGACTCTAAATTTCATCTTGAACTGAAACAGAGAAATGTATTCTTTTTATTTATCAGTGAAATTAATGATGAGAAACAACGAATCACTTCGTAAGAATGTTCATACGAAGGTGGTTGTAAAGAACTGTTTCGTCATAAATAACGACTAAATGCATTTCAGCCAGATCAATATCCCGAAAAAGTACGAATTTGACAAAAGACGATTTTTTTTGCTAATGTCATGCTAGAAGTATCTGTAAAGCACCTTAAATCTAAATCTTAAACCATGTAAAAAAATATTCATCTTTCGTCTTAAATGCAAGTTGTTTCTTCACCAGTGTATCAAATATCTTCTTCTTTCTGGATGTCTATCTGACATCGTAGTGCTATGAAATGTCAATCGACATCACGTAGACATACAGTGTTTTTGAACCGTTAAATAGTTAAAATTCTTGAAACCAAACTAGATTTGTGTAACAAATCTCAGCATGATATCTTCTAGAATACCAGTTTTTACTGCAATACTATCATTTACCTTTGCGACGATCGTCTGCAATTCCTTTTGACTGCTCTGTTAAAAAATTGTAAAGTTATATAAGTGCACTGCGTTTCTTTTTCGTTTTTATTGCTGTTGTATACTTACATCACTTGTACAATGTTAACATGAATATTTTTCTGTCTGTCTCAAATCCTTGTTGCTCATTGGTGCTTTTTTTCTCGAAGAAATAATTAACGATATTCATGGACGCTTATTATCGATGCTACTGTCGACAGTACTTATCAGTATAAAAATAGCAACATCGATATCATACATGATGAATACAAGAGAATGGGAGAAGAAGTGTCCTAAAAAAAAGTAATAATTTGGAAGTTAAATATCATACAAACTAAACATGTTGATGTCTGAGATGAGAAAATCTTGCAAATTAATTAATAGCTTTTTGAAATTAATCTTAGTTTGTATGATAAACCTTATTGAAACTAGGGAAAGTTTTAAAGCGTCCATGTCCATAGATGCTTCTATTTGAACTATGCTCATTTTAGTGATTTTTTTCAATAAATTATTGTCATTTTCATAAAGTCACTTCCAAAATTGGCTTTCACAGTGAAATTTAGCATTAACAATGTTTTAAATAGAATTAGCTTTTTTAGGTGTGCCAAATTTTCTAGTATCTTTCTTCGCCAAATGCAAAAATTGAAAACTATAGTTAGCGAAAAAACAAATTTTGTGCTCATATTCATATCAGAGGATAGAACAAACTAGAAAGTCAGACACTGTTGCAATGAACTATGTAGTTCCATCGAAAACTTTATTTGTGTCAAGTATCAATTCAAAAATCAATTTCAAAATTGATCTGAGATAGGATCATGATACTATGTTAAACCAATGACGAATAACAATCATAACTCTAGAAGAACGACTTATGAACATCAATTCTTTCAGGGCTTATCTCATGTTGACAGACTTAACTTAAAAGAAATATATTTTCAACACATTGCTGAAAAAAGGCTTTGTTTTTACTAAATGTGAAACTGAAAAAAATTGCTTTTTAATTGACACACACACACCAAAATAAGTCTGATTTTATGCATATATACGAATATAACATAAACAGTAATTTGGATACTACTTTCATCGATTTCTTGAAAGTAATTCAAAAAATATTCGTTGAATACAGTCTTTCACAGATGCGAGTCGTACTTGAATCTATCTGTAATACAGGAATGAACAAAGCTGGCTTTCTTTTGGGGATCGGAATCATCAATACTGATACCGATTTGGAATTGCTCATTGCTACTGTAATATTCAATTAAATACACAAAGAACATTGATTATCTTATTTTTCCCGCCAGAGATTTGTTGAGTGTTGTCAAACTATTGTAATATTCTTTAATCGAGAATTGAATATAATATTTCTCTATGAGATCGATACGTTTCATGAATTCACTTATTTTATTATTTAAAAACATAATTTGTAATGAACAAAATAATGAGCTGATCATTTGTTTGAATACAGATATCAATCTTAAAAAATACATGAAACTAATCATTATCATTTTCTATATAATTGTTATTTATTAACAGTTGTTCAACATCGTTGGATTATGAAAATAATATCGACATTCATTTAAATGACGCATATCCTCATGAAGATCTTTATTTTAGTAATAGGAATATGAATGATAGTTTTTTGTAGACAAACAAGGAAAATTTTATCATGTAACTATAATGAAAAAGTTAGAAATTTGTTGCCATATGGAAAACAATTATGTTGATATTTAAATTGTTCATAAAATTTTCATCCAAATTAAAAATACAATATATTAATAAGTATGAATGTTTTTTTTCTGCAGAATGATTTAACGATTGTTTTTTTCTTTCATTACAATTGTTTTAATTTTGTGGAAATGATATTGAAGTTAATCATTTTTTCAAATGAATTTTTAGACAAAAAAATATATTACTCTTTTATTTAGGCTGATTCATTTGATTTTCTAATATTTCAAATAATTGATGGTTTGATTTAATCTTTAAATTATTTTAAAGTTTGTGTGTGTTTCAATAATTCGCTTCGAAAAGAAAAGTGGATATCTGTCGACAATGAGTTCGAGCGATTCACAAATTTTGTTTTGTGTAATAATGATAGTGTAAAGCCTCTCTTACATAAACAACATCGAGACTTTTGTGAAGTGTTCATTACTGAGAGATGCCACATACATTGTATTATGAAATGAAAAATGTTTTAGAATATAAGCTTTTATATATATTCTTTTTTTCTCGTTTTAAAACATTGGATAAAGAGCCAAGTATAATATTCAATTTTTTGAGCTAATTCATGTTGTGATTTACCATTATCATTGTTTTTATCATTAATTAATTAATTGAATTTTTTCATTTAATGTAAAGTGTTTTTGCGATATAATTTCTTTCTCTGATTTATACGATTTGTAACAAGCAGTGAATAGCAATGATAGTACAGGATTGTAAAAACAATCTTTTTCAATTCTACTAAAAGAAGTTTAACTATAATATGTTCTTCCTAGTTTTATTTCACATAATTTATTTACAAAAAAAATATTCAAAAAGGATTATTATCAGCTGAAATACAAAAATTTATCCTTCTTGAAGTATTTGAAAAAATACTGTAGAAAGTTTATTTTCTATTTAATTTATTTTCGCTATCGATCTTTATTTTAAATTCAACGAGATCTTTATAATATATGTTGTATACACATCGATTATCATTTTATCTTCATTGATAATCTGTGTAAATGAAAAATAACTTCATGCGAAGAAAACTAATTTTCTTGATGATTGATGTTCTCTAACATTCATACCAAGGTTATGTCACTTTGATACGACCTTGTGAAACTTCTCTATGAAGGTCTTGAATAAATTATATCTGGTATGGCTTCATTGAAAGATACCCAGTCAGAATTAGGATGGGCTATCGTTTGTGAAATTGAGCAGACTGTTACAACAGTGGGTTTATTTTATTTAATGATTAAGATTGAAAAGCAGCTCTTGATACAATGATATCAGCCAATGAAATACGCTTTTAATGAAAGAATTTGTTGTTTCGTCCTTTCTTAGGTTTTATTAGGTACTTGCAAGATATAGAGGACGTTAAGAAAATGCCATTATCGGAGAAAGGTATACTTCAAATCGATCAAATTCAACCAAAAATTGAAGAAGATAGAAGTTTTTCTTAACCATCAAGAAGAGTATAGCTTTTTTTTCCAATTTTTAAAAAATGTATTGAAGTCTTGGTGTTTTCACACATATATCATGCAGAAGAAGGACTTCAAGAGAGACTCATAAACTCTATCAGAATGTAACACAATTTTCTGCATTATGAAAATTGTGACAGGTTACTAGAGAATTGTACCGTCTCGTATGCTCTACTCGTTGAAATGTAGACACTCTATTATTTTCAGAGCTCTTGGTTAAAACGACCCTGAGGAACCTAGCCAATGGAGGGTTTCCATTAAACGAATTCAAACTACGAAGATGAAGTATCATTTATGTCACTTGTTTGTAACTAAGTGAACACGCACATTCTTTTTCAGCTTCTTTGTAAAGCGTCGATGTTTTTTTTCTTTGCATTATGTCTTATCGTTAACAATAGAACAACTATAAAGGTAAGAGAACGAACACGTGTGACTTCGGTTGCAACACATCAGAGGAAATAAAATTCATTGAATAACGACAATGTCAACTAGGAAGTTTTGAAAAGTCGACAGTGAATAAGTAAGATACGAACAATATTTTTCTTGTGCTTTTCTTCTAGTGATCAATGACCATGAATCGTATGTAAACCGATAGTAGGTAATACAAATTAGGAAAGTATAATTTTAACAATAACTTATAACGTAGTATGGTAGGAAAAAAACATACGGTGCTATTCTTCGAGGCACTTTTTCTTTATTTTTTTTAGGGATGGCAAGTATTTAAGTTTCATTTTGTATTGGGAATTTCTATCCGTTCTATTAATATCAGCAAATACTTTTAAGAATTAGGAGAAGATAAAAGTTTTATAAAAGTTTGTAAAACTTTATTTGAGACATTCCACGAAACAAATGCTTTCATTAATTACTTGTAATGCGCGTCAAAACAAATCTTTGATCACGATGCTCATTTCAGAAAAAAGGCGAGTGAGTATTTTTTGAAAAAAATTGATGGAAACAAGATAAAGAGGGGGAGAACTGTGGTTTTCATCGCTGAAGACGCATTGAATCATAAACTACAGATTTTCAAGGTTTCAAACAAGATTTTAAAAACGAATATATCTCATAGGGGGAGCTACAGTCAGTTTTCAATTATCACGTGTTCATTTAAGATGTCAATTCAAGATCTACAACTATGTTGTACTCAGATTTTCAGCGTCACTCTTCCAAGAGTTTTAGATATTTTATCCGAAAATTTAAGCCGATGTACTTGCTTGTAGGTAGTTGATTAAAAAAGTTTCGAGGAATAAATTAGGAAAACTTATTATAGATAGTTCGATGCGTCTTCATTTGCTCTTTCCAGCGGCGTAAAGTGTCTTTCTCTATCTTATTTCTATAAAAAGCTATTCGAAAAATATCCACTAGTATCTTTGAAAATGAGCATTTATTTATACTGGACGAGCTCTGTGCATATTTCACAGCTGTTTTTTTTATAAACTTTTTACCCTTCTATCTTTGAATTTTGATTCAAATTTATATTTCCTCACAGAGATGTCTAGAACATTATAGAAGAATTCCAGTAACTCAAAATAAAACATATGATGGTGAGTTCCGATTTTCAGAAAATGACTTTGAGAAGAGTTCCATCGAAATTGAATTCAATGCTCAAAGAAATAGGCACAGAAAATTAATTTCAATATAAAAAGAATATAGAAATGACGTAGACATTTATGGATTTGTTGATGACTAGCGTAGTTAAGTTATTGTTTTTAATTTCTCTTTGACTTCTAAAATATATTTAAAGTAAAACTTTACCTGGCTCACACTAGTGTGGGTGAAAAAAATGAATTCAATTGATAGAAGGATGTCGGTATCGGTAAAGTTCTTGTTTGCATTCACACATATCCCACTTTCACATCCTTATCACGTAGACTGAACCGTGTACATGGACGAAATATAGGTGAAACATTGTTATGATATACAGGCTAAAAATTTGACTTTTTATTAATCCGATTTTTTGACTTGTAGATTTTCTTCTGATGGCAGAGTTAAAGTTTCTTCATCCTAAAGAGAAAAAACCTCCAGAACAAATTCAATGCGTACCACCACCGCATCAGTTAGTGGACTTGATAAAAGTTGATCGATTCAAAGGCTCTCTGTTGGGCTTAGCTGTTGGTGATGCACTAGGCGCAAGTGTTGAATTTCGTCCACGACAATATCTCGCCGAGCATCCAGTAAAGGATATGCAATCAGGCGGTACATGGAGCCTCAAAGCTGGGCAATGGACAGACGATACGTCGATGGCTTTGTGTCTCGCTTCATCACTCATTAGTCGAAAAGGGTTTGATCCATACGATCAATTGGTGCGCTACAAGTGGTGGTATAAGCATGGTTATCTATCTTCAACCGGGCGTTGCTTTGATATTGGCAATGCGACGCATAAATCATTGGACGAATTTTGTCGTCGTCAGAATGAGTGTCAACAACGTTGGAAAGGGGTTAGTGAAGAACAAATGGATAGCTTTTCATATGAAGAAATGCGTGCATCAAATTTTGATGTCAATTGCGGTGAACAAAATGCAAATGGTAATGGTGCTCTGATGCGTCTTGCACCTGTACCACTTTTTTTCTATCGAGAACCTGAGAGAGCCATTGAATATTCAGGACAAAGTGCTCGTCTCACACATGGTGATCAACGAGCAATCGATGCATGTCGTTACTACGGAGCTCTCATCATTGCGGCAATAAACGGTGAGAGCAAGGAAAAATTACTCGATCCTAACTTTTATTCAGCACATCGGCCTTGGTTTGGAAGGAATGAACTTCACAGCGAAGTACTTGCTGTAGCGAGTGGTTCATTCAAGCAAAAAGATGGATATGCGAAGGGAATTCGAGGTAGTGGTCAAGTTATTAAGTCACTCGAAGCAGCTTTATGGGCATTTTGGAGTGATGAGCAATCTTTTGCGAAAGGAGTACTCAAAGCAGTGAATCTGGGCGATGATACGGATACCACAGGCGCTATCTATGGGCAACTAGCGGGTGTTTACTATGGTTCTAAACAAATTCCCCAAGAATGGATCCAACAACTCTATGCCAAAGACTTAATTTCCTGCGTCGCTGAATGGCTACAAGTGCTAGGAGATCCGCGCTACCCAGCACAAACATCACAACAATACATGTCAGGAAATCAGCGCTTTTCAACGCAGACATCACAGCAACAAGTAACAACCAGGATGCCTCTACCAACTGGAATACAATACGATCAGTACAACGATACTCGTCAAAATCCATCAAGAATTGTTGCAAATCCAACTCATTATCAATCTCTTCTAACTTCTCATTCGACTTTACAGAGCACATCACAGTATAATATCCCTACTACAAAATCTGGTCCTGCTACTCATAAAACGACAAGTATTACGAAAAGTACCCAACAACAGTCGTCGCCTTGGGATTGGTATAGACAAGCACAGTAATTCTTTTTTGGCAAACGAAAATGCGACATGGAGTCCAATGGCACTTATCAAATGACCTCTTATGACATAGCTGTTTTATCTGCTTGTTTGTACTTCATTTTAAATTTATACTGTTAATTGCTCATTCTAAGAAGCTTTGTACCCTAACTACACTTCATTTTTAACAATAAACACGAATACAATAAATAGATCTGGATTGTCAGTGAAGTTTTGTCTTCGTACCAGAATTTCAACACGAATAACAATCAGATGAGAAAAAAACAATAAAGAGCCATTGAAAACGACCGTGAAATGCCCTATGGCGATCATCTCTTGACGAATTCATCGATTTAGCCTTGTTCGTTTCATATGATATCGAATACAAACTCTTTTTGTCCTATTTACACATAAAACGACATGACGCGCAAAGAATAACCTGATTTGATAGAATAACACTCTTTCTGATTTGCAGTGGAAAGCACAGCATACCATTCAACTCGCCTGATTACAGAGCGTTGATTGATGTTTTACTGAAAACAAATAAGATTGAACTTCTTCGATACCTTGTATATACAATGGGATGTCATTTAATGTATCACCAGGACAAAGATGCATGATTTCTTTTGGTCATAATGTTTATCAAATCGAACATTTTACAATAATCGGAAGAATTTAGATCAATGAATGGATTCATATGAAAAAACGTGGACAGAAGGTTCTCCTTAGTATTTTTAAAGGTGTATACCATAGATGTAACTCTCAATAAGGGTGTGGGGTAGGAGTGAAAGACTTCTCTCTTCCCGATTCATCCATACCCACCCACACCTTACAAGTCCAAGAAACATAGAGGAAAACAATACTTTCTAGTATGATACAAAATTCTTCCTATTGAGCATTAAATTCGATATATTTAATCTTGCACATAATAGTCAGATTTCCAAAAAAAAGAATAGAAGATCATAAAAGATAACTAAATAGATCTTAATCTTTGTTGCTTTATAATGATAAAAGAAATCTATTTAAAAAACGAAATTAACAGATCTTTAGAGTCATAATTCTTTATTGAATAAGTTCATGAAGAAGTAGTAAAAATGATCTTAGCAATAAAATTGTTCATTTGAGGATAGATATGCTCAAAGATGTTTTTTTTGTTTTTAGAATTTCAAACGCAGTTATAAAGTCTTTTTTAACGTATTTAGATGTGAAAAATTTTCACGTGAAAATAAATAAAATAGCTTTGTCTCAATCTTTGATAGTATATCGACGATGTCATTTAGATTGAGAAAATGTAACGAATGGCCTAGAATAAATTACCGCACTTTGCGTTTCGTTTTTTTGATTTCTAAACACGTTGTATTAGAAAACCAAAACATACTACAAGGTGCAGTGTGAAAAACTCTAGAATTTATATCAGACCGTTTATTTTGTAGTTACACGTTTTGCTTTCAAAATGGGCAAAATTTTGAGCTATCAAATTTTGACAGTGCGAAAATTGGTTTCACATAGAATTTTGCTTTTTTTGATAAACGATTACAACAAGCTTTACTGTGTAAATTGTAGAACTTTTCACGCTGTATCTTGTGGTATAGTTTGTTTCTTTAAAAAGACATATTGGATAATGGAAAGATGAAAGAAAAAAAAACAATTCTCGTTCATGTAGAAAAAAAATGATTTTTCGTAATAACGAAAATTGGTCGAGTAGAAATTTTGCCCATTTTGAAAACACAAAGTGCAACTATAAAATAAGCGGTTCTATGTAAATTGTAGAGCTTTTCATGTTGCATCTTGTGGTATACTTTGTTTTTTTAATACAATGTGTTTAGCGATGAAAAAAGTGAAACGCAAAGTGCAGTCATTTATTCTAGGTGACCCGTTAGTTTGAATTCTAATCATTCCTTAACTGATATTTAGGTTAAAATTCTAACCAAAGAAAGCAAATTGAATAAAAATTGGCCATATAGGAATTCATTATTGAACCGTCATGTGACATTTTATCGATTTCCTGTACGAAAAATCAATGCATACTTGTTCTTTACTTCAGTTCAATCAATACCGAAGTATATAGAGAATGCATAATCAAAGTTGATTCATTTTCGCGACTGAGCGGCAATGCAATGAAAGAGAAGTGTGGCGGAAATGGGGTGGCAGCAGAGAGTGAGTAACGGTATTTTCATAATTGAAAGAATTGTGTAAATAGCTTTTTACAAGATGAAGAATGGTGATATATATCTGTTTTTTTTCATTCCATGATTTTTTGTTTAAAATAAAGTAAAAAATATTTTGTTGAGACACAAGAAATTTTTCGCAAATTGAGTAACTGACAGACTCCTCCGCCTTCCTATCGCTGTGCATGACAGATAAAAGAGTGGTAATGAGTCAGCTAGCACATTTATTTACTTCATCGTCTTGAAAATTATGGACATATTCAAGATTTTAATTATCATATACGTAACTTCTCCTCTGATTTACGGTAACGATCATTAAAAAATCTTACAAATAAACTAGTTATTTCATATTGATGATTTTTTCCCCTGACAGTCGCGAACAAAGTGTTTTATTCGGTGATGTCAAAGTATTGACTTTATATATAAAGGACAACAGACGCAAGCATGATGAATATCACCTATTCCACAGATAAAATGTGTAGAGAAGGTTCAACTCGCTGTGTCTATGTACCACATGTTATACAATATTATAATCGTAGGTCAAATGGAATTGATATTCAAGTAAGAATATATCTTTTCTATGGTTTCCTTTTTTTTTGCTTTTTCTATAAACAATCATTGAAAAGTACTGAAACTTAGCGTGATCGAGTTAAGCTTGCTTCAGCAGACATTATGACTCATCCTATACAATATTTTTCTCTTATATGGAACTCTGGTTAAATTGTAGATGAGGACATATTTACAAATTCAACATGTAAAACTAGTATGAAAAGGATAATTATAGAAATGGATGACCAAAAAGATACATTGAAGTATTGACAAGTTTAGGCGGTTGATAATCTATTGAAGCAAATTGTGATCGAAAACGAAAGAAACAAATTATTTGAATAGTCTTCACAATGATGGCTAGTGTTTACAAAAGAATTTAATTATGCACTTTCGACCTCGTAGTGGTTTGCTCAGAGAGGCAAATTACTATTTTGACAACTCTAAAAATTGTGAGAACGTGCCTTACTATGTTTGCATTGATAAATTTCGTTCTATTTATGTTTTGCAACAAGTCATAATAAGGAACTGAAAATTAATACACGATATTCTTTTCGAAAGGGTCTTCTCTATATTTCTCAACTGTTTAAACGTCGTAATGCTAAGCGAATGGTTCTGATAACATTTCATTGTCAGTTCTTGAGATATGTTCAGATTTCCAAAAAAAAGTAAATTTCCTCAACAGTGAAGATTTTCATCGTAGCAAAGTAATCGACCAAAAAAAACCAACAATTTATAGAAAGTTACCAGGAAATTTCTTGGGATTAAGTGATGTATTCTGGAACGATTCGTTTCGATCGCTTTGGTGGTAATTACGGTTTATTTCCGGACTTCCCTATTGGTATACTATTTCTTTTACAGTAATTTTTGACATTGGATAATTTCTGAGGGAAATTTACTTTTTTTAGAAATTCAAACACTACTTAAATTTTTTGTATTCCTGCAAATGCTAGAACCGTACATGCGTGTTGTCTTAATATGAAACAGTATCAATGACTTCTGTATGGACTCAACAAATGTATAGGTAATATAAAAAAGAGGAAATTCTGTGAAACATATTCTAAGATTGAATGATAGAAAGGTATGGTTTAGATCGAATTGATTCTTTTGTTTTTTTTCCTATAATTGATAGTGAACATGATTTCATATCAAACACACAACAATTCAAAAATGCATCTAAAGACCTTTTTGTTTAGATTAAAAAAATTTTTATATTTTAAATTTCAAAGCAACAGTAGTTTTTCTAAAAATTTGTATGATTCAAATAATTTCTATTTCTAATGGCTATGTAAAATAGCTGAAATGCCAAATATATATAAATTTGGAAAAATTAGTGTTCCTTGTGAAGAATTTAATAGTCCTAGCAGTCCCTATATTTTGGTTGGATCATGTGAAGTAAGTAAAATCTTCTTGTAAAAATGAAGCTTCATAAGACTCATGCATTCGCAGGTACAATACAATCTTAAATGGAGTACGATAAGTATCGCTAATTTGGAAGTAGCTGATCATAAACAAGAGTATGTAACTAAATTCTTCTTTTAAATATCAATTTTTATCATCTATTTATTTAAAGCTTATCACAACAAGAGATATTTCTATACTGTTGATAATATTACTTCTTGTGGTCTTTTGTTCGCTTGGATTAAACTATACACGTAAAACAAATCTGGAGAGTGCTGATAAGATAAATGTTTCTTTTGTTTCTTTGTTCTAATAAACTATCTTTTTTAGTAGGATATGGTGGGACAAAACGATGATAAACCTATGACATTTCTTAGACTTCTACATCGATCACAATAATTCTTTTACTCAGCCTTGAATAATGTTCATAGATATGATTTGATATCATCAATAAATAAATAAATACGTCTAATTGACTTCAAGCTATTTTATTCATCTTAAGAAGACTAGCAGATATTTGAGCTAGATGACTTTTAATGAAAATACACTATGGACGAAATCGATTCATAACGCACTATCTCCTATTTTTTTTACAACGAGCGGCATCGAAGTTCAAATCGAATCATACACTACTTCATAGCGAAGGTCTCTTTTTTTTGTAGTTTGTTTAATTATATATACGACTAAAGCAGTCGTTTCATGTATTATATCAAACTCCAATACAAATGAATTTAGAAAAGACATAGACAACATCTATGATTGTTACAGTCTTATGCTTAGCGTGTTCTATGTATGCAACAATACCAAGGATAATATTTTCAAGAGGGACTTTAAGGGCGCCGTTAGCTTCTCCGAATATCAATCTAGAGATACGTTTAACAGTATTTCATTGAGTAACACGATGAATTGCTGATTTTGTGATACTTAATAATAGAGAAACAGACACGGTATTAAATGAATCGTATTCAATGATGGATAAACATACTTTGACTGCTATCACATAAAACTTTACGATAGCATTTGACATCACTTTTATCACGTTTGAAAATGGTTTAATGAATTTAGAACAATGCAAATGAAGGAGACGGTTTGATGCAATGTAAAGACAAAAATGATTCTTACGAACATTTAAATAATGTTCACACATACATATATTCATTGGTTCGTTAAACAGACAAAGATCCATCATATGTATTAGTTAGTTAACGATATTCTTAATAGATCAATGTTCTAAAATTGATTGTCCTGTTTATTTCCTTTCCTTTTTTTCTGCATTCGTACTCGCAAACATTCACATCTCGTTCAGACGTTTATTAGAAGAACAATAGGTGACTCGTACAAAAAAACTCCTTGTAAATCGACTAGTAGTAATGCACGACGGAAAAAGTTGGCAAAAAACATATGAACGAAAACTGATACCAGATTCAGGCGATATCAAGATTATAGGACGTGTGGTTTTGAGTGCCAGTGAATTTGAAGGCAAGAGATAGATCTATGCCTACACAACACACTAAAAACACATCCACTCCAAAACTCACACAAAACACCACAACACACCCTATGTTCATTGGATTCAATGACAAAAAAAAATAACATTGATAAAGCAAACTTGCGAAAAATTAGTTTTAGTCGAACTCATAACGAATTAATTTGCTGTTAGTTAGAAAGTTTTATTAATATTAAGCATTGACCTTGTATTTTAGTCAAAATTATAGTGGTCTGGCATGTATGGACGTTCATCAATTATAATCTATGTTTAATGTATTCCATTTGAATATGTTTCAAACGCAATAGTGATCAAGAAGTTGAAATATACTGAAGTGGAAATATTTCCAAAGCTAAAATATTTTTAAATCGGCTTGAAGTGAAAGAAATATATATATATTAGTGAAATAAATTAGTTTAGAATGCGTCGAGACAACTTTTGACTGCTGGGGTAAGTGATTAGGCACATTCAAAAGCAGAAAAAACAACACGTCTATGTGTGATAGTTAGTTTTGTTCAACTAATAATAACATAAAAGTTGTTGTGCGTTTTTCCTGAAACGTAAGTTAGAGCGAGATAGTATTTTAAGGTACATAGTTGATTGGGAACAATTGGACTTATAGTTTGACTGAGATAGTCAAATTTCGGCTCTGGATTACAACGGTCACGATAGTTGTAAGTGCCACCATGAGGATACACCGTGCTGATGGAGCCAGGCCCACCACCAGATCCTTGACCGCTGATGCCTGTACATTGGGCTGTACAAGAAGGTATCCATGATGGCGAAATTGATCCTGATTCAAAATCTCCATTTTGCATCAATTCGATACCGGATGATTGCTTCAATGATACATCATCAAAATCCCAAATGCCAGGATTATCATCGACTTGAAAGGCAAATGTGATCGTGGTCACATTACTTGTTGGCGTGAATGTATTTGTGTACAATTGATAGGTTGTTGACGTGCCGGCACCATTAATGATAGAGAATATTGACGTGGGCAAACTTGAACATGAGAAGACTAAAGTAAAAAATGGACAATATATCAACCTGAATCAGACGCTTATGAAACCTAGAAGACTAGCTTTTTTTTAAAATTCGCTCGACTTTATTATACGTGAATCAACAGAGAAATGGCTTACTTGTAGTAGTACTGGTTGTTGGTGTTGTTGATGTTGTTGTCTTTGTTGTAGTAGCTATTAATACAGCAAAAGAAATTAATCATTGTATATCGCATAATACAGCAAAGACATTCTCAATTTTCTACTATTTACGCTAAACAATCAACATGCAGAACAAAAAAGAATTCTCTTACTCTTAATAGTCTGTCAAAGTTAATTTTTTGATCAGAAACAAATCCACTTTCGATTATTTAAAAAAATAGTGAATTATACCAGAAAAATGTATTGTCTCTACGACTTTGGTTATGTATTAGTATTGCAACGGAACAAATCGACAGAAACTGTGAAGTCTAAACTTGTCCAATCTTTTATAGTATTAGTTTTATTCTCAAATGTCATCATGATTTCATGGGAATATGTATTTTTTTTTAGATGAAAGTAGTTTATTTGTGAAATTCTATCACTCACGATGATTCTGTTGAAAATATAAGTTGAAATTGCATTCAACGCTAATAATTAGATTTGAGCATCAAAAAGAACATGGAGAAACATCGAATAAAAAGAGAATTGCCATTTTCTATAAATCATCATCTTACAATTTTGAAAGGAAAGTCTCAAAAAATAATACTGAAAGATAAACCACAAATAATAGTTTCCGTTTGCTACGACTGGATCATCAACATGATCGTTTGGTTGGCAATGACCTAGTCTATATTGATATGTACTCGTCTTGTACCGTCTCGAAATATCTTTAAGTCTATGTTATATGTCTCAATTTTTCTTCAACGATCTTAATAAGAATTCGAAAGTTTGCAATATTAATGAGCCGATTAACTTAGAATAAAGAGTCACAAGCGTCTAAGAATGGGCAAGTCATTTGTATTCAAAAAATAGAGCTGCAAGCACATATATAGAGATGTCCCCAAACGTAATCTGCTTAGGACAATCCTGTACAAAAAGCCAGTTCGATCAAACTAAATACTACCAAAAGTCAGACAAACAGAAGCGCTTTCGACCTTGTTACCATCCGTTCAGGTTGCTGCATAGGATATTGAATTATAGATTTTATCATAAGATTCAGCTTCTTTCTTATTTCTATAAACACATCAAATTTCAGACAATAGTCAGTAGTACGACCTATCTTTATCTTGTATCGGTTCAATCATGTGAGAACATTTGGTCATTATGTGGCTACATGCCTTGACCTCATGAACGATAACAGATCGCATCTTACTCCTTTCCTCTCTCATTTATAAACTTGTTTTCTATGTGAAACAGACACAGCTGCAATAATGAAGCAGTGTAGGGAACGTTAATGTCGAGAGTGGCAATAATACTACTCTTCTTGTTTATCATTGTTGATAACAATAAAATGCACAATGTATTACTAATAATGAAAGAGAACATCATTGAATCTCTCTTATTTTCGTAACATACACGAAATCATCTGTCTACTGGAAACAGAAGCCTGTCTCTTAAGGCTTGAAACTAGTACTTTTTTTACTAAATCGCTTAGCGTATTGATTGACTTTATGTTTCGATATTGTGAGAAATGATCATGAGGAGTCTCTTTTGAAAGATTTCAATTGAAACTGTTTTATTTGAAAAATATTGATGTCTTAGCAAAACAAGTGAATTCATCATACTGAAAAAGATGACATATTATGCTCTTCGTTTGCTAATCATCGGTAGGCTTGCATCAGTGGCAGATTTAGGGGATTGGGGGGGGGGGGCGATGGGGCTATCGCATCCCCCTTCGAGAAGTATTTTTCGATTTTTCCCAGCAGAAACGAACGAGCTCAAAATGTATTTTTTGCCTACGATCGCACCTCCCTTCTAAAATCCTAGATCTATCACTGGCTTGCATTTGTCTGATATTTATTATTTATAAAAGTGCATAAATTACTCCAGTCAGAAATGTCTTATATGAACATCTAGTCGTCATCCAATTTTCAGGATACTCAACTGAGCTCAATATGAACAGTTCGAGACTAAAGGGAACTTACTTTTGGTTGTTGTAGACGTTGTTGATGTCGACGTCGTGGTTGTCGACGTCGTAGTTGTGGACGTCGTAGTTGTAGACGTCGTGGTTGTTGACGTCGTAGTTGTTGACGCCGTAGTTGTCGACGTCGTAGTTGTCGATGTCGTAGTTGTTGACGTCGTGGTTGTCGACGACGTGGCTGACGTAGAACTGGTTGTTGTAAACGTTGTTTCTGTTGTGCTTGCTGCGATAATAAAAACAAAAAGCGTCCGACCCAATATCCTTACAGAATTAAAATGCGAAGGATAACTAAACTATTTTTATTCTACAGAAAAGCCTTCTAGGAATACCTCTTTCGTTGCAAAAGATTATGTTCTATTGTGTTCTGAGCGGCATTGAGAACAATGTGTAAGTATATTTGTGTCGGTTTACATACGAGAGAGAAAGAGAAAACTTAAAAAATGATACACTCTTTTTTGGATATCTTTCAGATTTTTCAATGTTTTCATTATTTGATATTCAGGTCCAAAAGTCTAAAAACTAAATGAAGATTGAAATTCAACTAAAATTAAAACAAAAATATCCAAGATCTGGTCATATGAGTGATAAGACATATCTACAAACGATGGAGGTCGGAAGGTGTTCAATTTTTTCGATTCACACTTCAATACACATTAACAATTGTGTTTCACAAAACAAGAATGGAGAAATATCGGAATACAGTTCTGCAAACAAGATAATTACATGTTTAGATAACTACATGCACCACCGTAGTTGCTGAAAAATATGAGTAGTGGCAATTTGCACACTTAGAAAATAAACAAAAAAACTTTGTTTTTTACTTACTTGTTCGTGTTGACTCTATGAAGTAATACGCATTTGTTTAATGCAAAGAAAAAATGAGAGGAATGAACTCACTTTGCATTGAATAAACAACAGCAAAAGCGATAAGACTCAACACTATTGCCATACCTAGAGCACAACAGAGTAGACAGCAGGCACGTGAGAATATTCTACAATAGAAAAAAGAACTATTCAGAGTCTGAAAGTACAAATCTTATTTGTTGGAATTTTCATTGACTAGCTACAGAAATAGACTATTTATTTTGGTAAGCATATAGACTCTTTATATCTCAGATACTGGACAGTCTCAATCAATATCATTTCCTTTCCTCTGCGCAAATCTCAAATGAAAAAATGTAGCCAATAGTATAAACAAAGTTTTATGGTGTCAATGTGGGCAGACGTTGCTAAATGTGAGACTTCTCTTCATCCACACCTACCTCCAAGTCTGCCGGATGAAAAACAGATGCATCTTGGGAAATTCCAAATAAAACCATTGAAAAGTCTTGATGAAATCTTGAAATACGTTCTTTTAACGCTTCTAATTAAGATCTTGATCAATTTGTGTCAGAAGTTTCGGTCTCTCTCTCTCTCATGGTAAAATACTGTCGAAATAAGATATTGAGTGATCACGTGCAGATTTTAGTATAGGCTCATCAGTGTAACTTCTGGCAAAGCAAAAATACAAAGTATTCATAAGAACTCATTACTAACGACAAGTAAAAACAACGTTTGAATTTCGAGACCTTGCTTGGTTTTTGGACATTGTTCACTTTTGTCTTTTTTCCAAAGTCAAGATAGGAAATGGCATTTTTCTAATTAACAATAAGTTGCTCTGATAAAAGTA